CTCTACATTCTTCTACACCAGTGAAGAACCAACAAGCACCACTACACGTGCTAGTTCCTCCATGGTCACAAGCCAAATCCTTGCGGCATTCATCAGTTTGAGAATAAGTCGATGCGACCCTCGAATCAACCACTCTACACACACTATACATCTTCGGGGATCGAATCCGAGGATTCAAGTTTTGTAAATCAAAGATTGTAACCCTAATTCTTCATTAATACAATTGTAACTTTGTACAAGTATTGTTACATTTGTCACAAAAATTTCTCGTTTACAGATGGTATGTGAACAGTTTGCATGTCCCATGCAAACCGTTCATTTGCATATACTCTGTAACAATAGAATATGCATGATTAAATATATCATTATTATTATTATTATTATTAGATCAACAACAACCAAAATAAAGTATATGGTACGAGCTAATTTTGGCGACCATCCACTGTTTTCTAACTCGAGATCATTAAACCACAGCCGGAAAGCATCATATAGCACGTACAGGCATTACTTCTGAAACGATATAATATAACAAGTTGAAGCAAAATATTGCTGTATACACCAAGCAACAGAGATACCCTGAGGATAAGTTCTGATTCTCCACCATTCAATAATTTGGAATAAAAATTTTCACCTTACAATTCTTTTATATATAATATATACTTATATAGTTCTTCTCCAGTCTTGTTCACACAAAACGTTAAATCTTTTCAGTGACACAAGCCCATTAGCTTTCCGACCCCAACGCCCGACAATGCTGGAAAAACTACTTTATATATTATTCATATCTTACCTGCAGCCATTTGGTTCTCATTTGTTTGTGGAGTGAAAGTTTAAGCAGCTAGCTTTAACCATGCACGCTACGAAAATTTTCTTATTACTTTACAGTCAGCCCCTCCCATGTGTTAAAAAAAGTATGTCCCTTCAATTTCGTAGAGGCCAACCCTCGCATGCTGATGAAGAATCTGCACATGCCGTCGTACAACTGTGCTTTTACATGTCTCATTTTCTTGCAAGAGACAAGACAAGTTACAGTACTCTGCCATCAGTTAAGTTAATATTTGGAATTACAAAGTCTCGGGGGAATTAAACAAGTACGAAATACAAAGATTCTTAGGGTTGGTATTTGTTTAATATTTGAGTGAGTTTGTACAGATTCCGGAGTGCATCAAACTCATATTGTGTCCATGTCCAGAACACATTGTTAAATTAATTTGGCTATGAATCAATCTCATATTAAGTCTATATGCAAAGATCGATCAGATAAAGAAGAGTCATATCAGGAAACACACATTTTGACACACTTTCTTACAGTTTTCATTGCGTAACTTATTTCAAGAATGGTCTATGAATGATGAACTAAAATATAGATGTTTCCGTAATTACCAAGATAGTTATTTATAGTGAAGAAAATGGCTGATTACGTTTCTATGAAAAAAAACACTAAAGTAACTATCATTTAATCCAATAGTCATATGATATTAGATTTAGTAATTTTGACAGTGTTACTCTTCTAGGTAACTAGTATCTCCACATATATATGTTACGCATGTGCAAAGGAAGTTATTGTTGTAATAGTATAAGTGAAAATTTTGGGTGCGAGGGAAAGTAGGTAAGTGAAAGATTATTATTTCACTCTTAGTTTTGGAAGTAAGTTATTATGCTCATGTAATTAAAAGTGGTATATCCCTCTTTGATTGAAGGAGAATTTCATAATAGTGCATGTGTTTGTATGTATATTTTTTCTAAGAGCACTTCCACCCATGCTACCATGGCAAGGGGGGCTACTGTTCTACTACAACTCCACCCATTTTAAGAGTTGTCATGACCGTTATTATTCATAATTGTTTTAAATACATAATTAAATGAATACAACCTTGAACGTTATTTACATAGTTTTAGTAAACAATATTCACATGAAGTCAAATAAAACATCTTCCAAAACGGATACAAAACATCTTTCAAAATCGACCATTGAGAGCCGGCATCAGAGCCCATATGTTTTTAGAACAAAAGGATCCGAAAAGTGGAAAACAAAAAGATATGAGAAATGAAAAAAAGGAGAAGTTTGAATTGTATTCTGGTGTGGAAGGTGACGAAAATGGTTTTAAGTATTTATAGAAAAAAAAAAAACATTCATGAGTCTTTTGTACTTGAAAAAAAAAATCTAATTTTTCCATATTTTTTCTCTCTTTTTTTTATCTCTTAAGGCGTGACCTTCGACGATCGAAACTGAGACCTACTTATGAATGCCGAGCATGTAATGCACATGCTATGTAGAAAAAAATTGAATTTAACTTAGCTGACGTTAGTTTGGCGTCATCTCCCTACATAAGGGCATGGGCAAGATCTGCATGGGCTGCTGGTCGAGCTGCAGCTCGCTTGATCACAAGTAGACCCGGCAGACACGACACGGTGACACAATACGAAAACGACACGAAAATAACAGGTTTTGGATCAACACAATAACTTATCGGGTCATTATCGGGTGATCCGTTAAGAACCCGTTATTAACGGGTTCTTAATGGGTATACACGTGGGTAACCTGTTTCGACCTGTTAAGAAAAATTTTATTTGATCATTTTAGTTTAATTACTAAAAGATTTATTATAAAATACAATAGCCATATTAATATATAAAATATATTCTATATTAAATATATAGTTTTGTATTATTATTCTATATAAGTTTTAAAAAAAAGTATTTGTCATTATTTATTTTTATTATGAGAGTTCCTTATTATCATTACTAGGATAAATTTTACTTAACATGTTGTTGTCCAAAATTAAAATAAACTAATATAGTATTTGTATAGGCAAGAACTAAGAAGATATACATATACATATGAAAAATGTGAAAGAATATATAAACACTCGTGATTCATCATTATTTATCCACGAGTAGATAATGGTTACACTTGCATTATCGTTTAGATTTTTAAAATCCTCCAAACCTTCGTGAATAATTTTTTTATTTGAGGGCAAAATTAATAAAATTAATAATAATTATTGTAGAAGTTTAAAAAATGTAAATAAAAATATATATACAGTCACTCATAGTGACAAACTTTACAACTTTCATGAAGGGGTCAGCTTTGAAATCGAACACTATAATTCATAAACCTTAAATTTATATTTAACCGTCGATTGCTATTTACGCTTTATTCTTCTTACTGAATTTCATTTTTAAAATTTTCTTTTTTGAAAACATGATCATCTGGCAGATGTAAGAAGATGAATGGTTCAGATCTTTGATATCACGTTTCGATATTTACGGTTAACTGAAATATGAGTAGATGTCATATAATTTGTAGAAACTTTATAAACATCAAGCAATATTTTCACTAACCGTAAAACTTTGAATATAATATCAACAATCCAAACCATTCATCTTCCTGCATCCTCTAATAGATCAAGTTTTCAAAAAAGAAAATATGAAAAAAATAAAATTTGATGAGAACAATGAAGCGTAAATGTAAACAACAGTCAACGGTTAAATTTTGATCTATGATTTATATGATTATAGTGGCGAATTTCGAAGTTAAGCTCTTCATGAAAGTTGTAAAGCTTATCATTACGAGCGTTTATGTATTTTTTCTATATTTTTTTTACACTTCTATATTAATTAAAAAACTATTAAAGACTTTAGGTAAATGAAAATATACTTAAAAGAAAATTGTATTTTTATGTTTTGAATGTGACAATATGGTATGTATATACTTATTTAGTATTATGTTTTTCATTTGATTATTTATTGGTTTAAATTATATTTTCCTTAATAGGTAACGGGTCAGGTCATATTACCTGTTAATATTATCGGGTCGATTTCGGGTTAGGTTATTTTACCCGTTTATTTTAACGGGTGTTACACGACACAACCCATAAAGATATCAGATATGATACGAAAACGACACGAACATGAAAAACACGACACGAATGTCAGGTCTAATCACGAGTAGCCTATCATGTTTTACATGGGCGGAGAAGGTGTTTGGTATTTTTAAGGTGTTTTGGAGCCCTGCCGCCCTGACAACTAATGGATGGGTGGGAGTGCTCTATAACGTGACTCTGACCAATGGATTGGACCTGAGCCCATATTTGTTGGGTAGGATCAAATGGCCATCTAGCTTGGGCCTTTTTACCATAATCGAAAGAATGACGGTTCATTTACATTTTCTGGGCCTAATCCCACACCTCTTAAAGTTTGATCACAAGACCAACCCAAAGATCCGAACCCGATTTTCTCTTCTGTGAACATGTCCTCATGAATATATAGCTGCGATATTAGGGGAGGTGGAAATTAAATTCGGGACTTCTAGTGCTAAAGTGAATGCAATTAATTAACTGAGCTATAAGTTTTTTGCACGAACATACTTTTTATTTTTTGGTACTGTAACATATAGAAAATGAAAGATCATTTATTGTCTGATAGAGGAGAGGGTCTTGAGTGCGGCAAACAAGAGGCGGGTAAGGTCATTAAGTGGGAGAATGGTGGGTCTCAAATCAACAGTGGCGGGCCATGGGTGGTTTTTTGTGTCTAGAGTCGAATCAGGATTCTCTCCTGAGCATTTCCCTAGGGATCCCGCAATCTTATCCGTTCATCGTGTATCGTGCAGTCAGAAATCATTTAAAATTTAAATTTTAAAATTCAAATATAAATAGTACCTAACGAAAACTGACCGCACGATATAAAATGAACGGATAAAATTGCGGGATGCCTAGGGAATGCTCAGGAGAGAATCCTGGTTTTCTAGAGTCTGCATGGACACATAATCCGAGTGTCGGATCTTAAAATTTCTCTTGATATAGGGATACAGCTGCCTCAAATTAAGTTTCTCTACCCAAGTGGTTACTGTAAAAGCTGTGTAAACAGTTCAAGAAAACTTCTTCTGCCCCGACACCAAATATAGAAGGTCTAGTGCAATGCGCATCCTCAATGTTCCAATCAGTTTCGGAATGAAATTCTGATAATATTGACCCAGAATATTAAACAAGGCAAAAATATTAAAAAGCCAGAAATCGAAAGAAAATTAAATTAAAAAATTGCTTATGCATCTCATTGTTTAGCTGACATACACAATGCGCCTGTCTGGTTAAAACAACAAAAAAGAAGGTATAGACACATCAACGGAGTGTTGATGATCACATGAAGGATCAAAACACAGCCATCGTGGCAGCCAAAAACTTTTAAAGCAAGCGTCTATTGGTCGAGTAGTTCGCTTTTTGAACACGTGGCAAGCATCCGTTGGACGAGTGGTGCCACAGAGATCATATCTTGGTTGCCCAAGATAATTTCTCTGGCTTTTGGGGTAAGAATATCAGGAGTCGGTATTTACACCAGTTTCAAAAAGTTAGCGGAGGACTACCCTTAATAGTCCGAACGGAGAAATTCTTCATAAGGTGTTCCCATAAGCGTCTTCTGCACATCCTCCCAGTTCTTGATATGGTCAGACAATGATCCGTTATGTATCTTTACCTGACGGCTGGTCAATTTCATTCGTGGCAGGCCGAGAAACTCTTGAACAACTTTAAGTTTCTGAATATGATGAAACAATGACCACGTTAGATGCATGATTCCGGAAATACATCACGCGAAAATATTAACAGAATTAGCATAAAGCCGTACCACAGTTGTCTCCAAGGGAATACCATGGGAAACATATACAGTAAAAACTTCTACAAGAACGTACACAATAAAAGATTTTACGAAATTTTTATGTAGATCCTTACACTGCGATTAATATCTTCGTAGTACACAATCATGTGCCTGGTGCTATTAAAGTACTCCAAAGCTTTTGCAGTTGCCATCTCCATTTCCTTAAGATCAGTAATCAAGTTTGTACAATTGATAGTAGGCTTGTACTTTGCTAGTGTATCAGCCTGTATATAAGAAGCCACCGCTAAAATACACAACTACAAATATGTGTTTGGGGTGGGGAGGGAGGGAGGGAGGGAGGGAGAGAGAGAGAGAGAGAGACCTCTTGTTCTGAATGTACATGTGACTTGTGGGTTCCATTCAATAGCTTAGCATATCGATCATAGGAATTAGCAAGAACTGAAACCAATCTGCGCAACAAATTTCTTCGAAAGAGAAATATTGCAGAGACCCCCCTACGATTGAAGTATTGTACAATTTCACTGTGGTGCTCCATTAAACCCTGCAAACGCATATATGTCAGCTCCTTCATTGTGTCCACGAGGTTTTCGATAAAAAGAGGACCATCCAGTTATCCATAGTTTCAAAATATTACAAAACTGACAGTCGTGTTCTTTTTGGTGTCCCATCTCTTGCACTGTCCCCACACCAAACGGAAGAGATTGAAATATATATTCATATAAACCATATTCAATTATCTCATAAAACTTGGAATGTCACAAACACAGACACCACATACCTATGATAAACGGAATGTTCCGATCATCCAACAGATTCTATACAAGCTATCAAACTTTTTTAAAAACTTCAGTCAAGGAAAAACAAACTTTTTAAAAACTATTACATAGTTCATATTGTTGTACAAAGGCCCTCTATGGATTTTGTCATCAATGGACCATGATGCACGCAATCAACCCACCACAAAGTAGATAACCAAACAAATAAGCAAAAGCAAACACAAAACAAATTTATAGTTGTTCAGTAACGTGTCTATGTCCACTCTAGCGACCCTCATAAATTTCATTAGTAATCAGTTAACACCTTTGGTTTACAAGAAAACCTCCTTTTCCGAAATCCCGAGTCTTAGTCCCTCTCACACACTTGTTTCTAGCAGTCAAGGTTCCCTGGTAATTCTTGTTATGTTCAATAACCCCTATAGTCCTATCTATATAGTGTAGGCTTTAGGGCTTTATGTTACAATAGGAATTGAAATAGGTAAGAAACCCGGGAACAAAATTCCCTTTTGCAAAAGCTCAACTGGTCACACCACCAAACTTGAACTGATGGATCTACTGACCGGTCGCCTACCGCTGAATCCAACCTGCTCGACTCTGTTCTATTTGACCCGTCACCCAAGATTTGGTGACTGACCACCTCCTTCAATCCCAAGCAATCACTTTACCAAACCAGAGATACGACACTTGCGGTATGTTTGGTTTTCAGTACAGGTAAGGGAACACAATACCATCATACACCAAACAACCACAACAACAACAACAAAGCCTTTTACCATCATACACCAAGAACACAATATTCAGGGGTATAATCCACAAGCTTTGCAATCTGTATTTAAACAGACTAACCCTGATCCCTCCAGCGCTAATCACAGAGCAATGTACAGCTGAAAAAAGAATTGCTTTGAACTTTGATGCAATTTTCAAGACAGTGCGAGTGGTTGCGACCTTTAATACTGATATAATCTTTTCAATTTCGATATGGTCTTTCCTTAGTTGAATTGGTTCTTTGTATTGTACATGTACAAGGAAAAGATGAAGCAAGGAATAGTTTCCTTCCTCGTGAATCAAGACACAAACAACACAAAATATAAAATCAAGAGTTTGAGTAATACAATATGTTGGCCAAACTTAGATGAGTTAAGCATCCCTCCTAGGTCCTAACAACCCATATACACCATTTATTCATAATCACTAATTTATCACATCAAAAATGTCAAAGCGAAAAATGTAAACAATTAAACAGAATCTGTTAGGAAGTTGACACGTAAATGGACCATGGCATGTGAAAATGTTCTAATGTTTGGAGCAATGATAATCAAAATCTCCATTTTTTAGCGTTACAACCTCTTAGGTAGCAATATGGTTCACACTGCTTCACATTTGCTACTAGTTGTCACTAATAGCGTAAGCTTTCTGCTAATCACAGAGCAGAACATAATGGAATACGAATATCAGCATGAAGTAATAGGCATTTCATACCTGATTAAGCATCCACTTGAAGCCAGTTGCAGCAGAGCACTCATTCTTCGAAGCACTACTGTACCAGTCCAAACTGTAAACTTTATCCAGAGTCTGTACAATTGAAGATATACTTTCCCTCCTATTCCTAACCGAGAATATCTCCCCATTAGAACTAACATTTTTATGACTATTTAACAAGCTCTCAAACCATCCACTCCCCGATCTCTGCATCGACAAGATTGCAAAGAACCTTACAGGATTGCGTGCACATTCGGCCCTACAAATAGACCGCAACAGGGATTTAACAAAAGCTGAAGATACCCGAATTCAAATCTAAAGGGTAACAAATTTCAATTACCTGCTAAAAGTTTTGGGCATCGGGTAATGCTTATAAGAATTTTCTATTAGTTTGATATTGTGCAAAGGCCCTTCGATGATTTTGATGCTTTGAAGTCTAATCATGGTTTGGATGCTTATCTGCTTTAGACATATTGAGCAGATATAAACGCCGAAGACAGTCGCAAACACTAGGACTGTCATCCTCCATAACAAAGGAGATTTCTTGGGAGGCTTTATGATCAAACTTTCCTGTGAACCAAAATTGTCAGGAGTTAAATGCAAATTTGGATTCATGGGTATGCACAAATGCAATGTGTGCTCTCTAAGTAACACTAACAAAACAATAATCGAGTATAAAATCCATAGAAACACTAAATCTACTTCTAAGCCCCAAAAAATTATAAAAAGTAAAAATTAGTAAGAAGAAAACAAAATGCAAGTGGGTTAATTAACGGTAATATTAACAGCATGTTAAACTTGATTACAGATAAGTTTTTAAGGTTTTAAAACCCAGATCGAAGTTGCAGAGATTCTACTTCAAATCACCACAGAACTGAAACAACAGTCTCAAAGAGAGCACCTTTTATACAAACAAAAAAAAAAACACTGAAAAAACAAAGAAACAAGATGCACATGTATGCTTCAACACCAACAGAACACATTTCATCTCCATATTTTCTGTGGAATACAAATTAAAAACAAAAAAGGGAAATTTGTACTAGTAAAAACAGCATTTTGAGCAAAACCCACAACTCCATTCCAACAAAAATTGAACTTGAAAAGTAAAAAATGAAATATATGGAAAAGCAAGCACCTTGGTGAGGAAGCAGATGTCTTCAGCCATTGCTTTAACCAGAGAGAGAGAGAGAGAGAGAGAGAGCAAGGACCACCAAGCAGAGCTCAGAGACTACTACTGGACATCCTCAGCTAGTTCTTCGGAGAGAGAGAGAGAGAGAGGAGCTGCTAGAGAGAAAAGGAAACGAGAGAGAAGGGTCTGGGTTTTGGAGCTTTTTTGGCCGCATGGAAAACAGAGCCCTGAAAATTGGAAGGCTTTTTGGGACTAGTGGGAAACACACACAACCACAAACAATACCCAAATTGAAAGGCTTCTTGAGACTCTTATTGTTGGTCTCTCTGGGATTCTTTTATTATTATTGGTAATAGATATTTGATTTTTTGTTTTGTTTAATAAAAGTATTTTGGGCAAAATTAGAATCAAATTGTCGTACTACACCCAAATGCCGTAATCTGGTGTTAGTTTAAAAGTCAATGTTGAAAATCAACAACTAAAACACAAAGACTTGGCCGTTCAAGAGGATATGGTGTTTCCCGACCAAACAAATAAATAAAAAAGCTAAGGGAAAGATAGCAGGGCAGTGCAATCCCTTGAAGACTTTTGACTTTTGTTTGAATAGATAGAATCTATAAATTACTTGAAAAATATTACATATAAATTCCAACAAGTTGTTTTTTTTTTCTATAATTTATTTTCAATAATTCTTGGTTCTTTAGGTATATGGAGCTTTCCTCTTTCAATAACGATGAATATCATTTTAATGTCCAAATGTTGCAAACGGAATCGTTCGTTTTCTTTATCACTATCTAAAAACCATTTTTCAAAAAAATAATTTCGATTTAGAGACTATTTAGTCATTCATATAAATTAAATATATTAACGGCTCATCGGGCCACCGTACCCATCAATTTGTTTAACATATATGGATTACTAAATGATTAAAATTGAATAAATTTTTCTAAAGGTAACCCTTAGACAATGATAAAGAGAATGAAGAATACCAAGTCGGGCTCTTCCCGTACCCGTATAAAATATAACTTGCAATGCTCAATCTTCATCATGTAAAACCTACGTACTTCATTTAGATTGGGAAAATCGTATGGATACTTTTGATTAGGATGATGTGTAGTGAAATCATGCAATGTCGTCATTAAAGGCGGAAATGAGCCAATGCCACAAAGGTATGCTATCGTAATGGAGTAAGTCACAACTAAGTATTGAACTCATCATAAATAATCACTATCAAGGTGAGTAGAAACTATGGTCTCCTCTAACTAAGTAGAAACATCTAGACCAAAGGTTAGTTGGCCTAAACTATTTTTCGACATAAACCATTTTCTTGGATAAAGTGGATGTGTGAGGGGTGTGGAATTTATTTAAGTAAACAAGAACAAGATGCCAATTCCTATATTATTATTATTATTATTATTATTATTATTATTATTATTATTATTATAAACTTTAATGAGATTTATATTAAACATAATGATTATAGTACTTTTGTTTGGTAACATATCAGATTAAACTCCTATTGAATTAAAAATGCAACTCCTCAACCATGGTTTATTGGTGATGTTGTAGCAAATACAAAATTAGGATTGCCCAAAATTAGGATACGAACCCTATAAATTGCAAAAAAAAAAAATATACTTATTGAATTCATCCAGTCAGTTGGAAGGAAATAATAAGGGGTCTTGTAATTTTGTAAACCTACTTGACATATCTCTTTCTAAACAAGGTGGCTTGAAAACCTACCTTCAACAAATTAGGTTAAGACCTTAATTATATGATCCCGTGGTTCAGGAAAGCAAAAAGAAGAAGAAGGAAAGTAATCATACTATGCTAAATGAGATAGATATGGAGTGATTGTGATTGTGATTGTTATTGACCCTCAAAACTGTTTAATTTTTTTATTTCTTCTTTTTTTTCGTTTATGATTTGAAGTTCTGGTAATTGGGTGCAAATTACTGTGAAATTGTGAATTGTAAATTTGTAATTGTGATGTATGATGTTGATTTTTCACTAACTCACTAAAAGAACAATCCGGAGGACAAGATGTCTAGCTACCAAACTGCTTTTATAGCATTCTAAAGTTTTAATTCTTAGTGTCATTTAGTACTACAGTTTAGTCGTATTCATCACAAAGGCAAATTTGAACCGTATTATTGCTAACTCATTGTGAGGCTTAGCCCACTCTCCTACATCCTTAGTGTAGATAATATAGTTTGTTAAAAAAATTCTAACCTTGGTTATTTATAATTAAATTTTGATGATAAATTTCATCCTTCAAAAATAGTTGACAAAAGTAGGGGGAGGGGACTTAGACGAATGAGTACACTGCAATCATAGCGTCTCGTGTTAATATTACAATATGTACAAAATATTTATATTTTTATATGGTATTTTTATTATTAACACGAGATATACCACAGTACCAATGCCTTTGAAATTTCGAATTAGCTAAATTATTTTCACGAAAGAAATGACTGACTTTTCTTTTTCTTTTGTTTTGGGTAAAGACTCACTTTTCTATATACTATAAAAAGCTAAAAAGTAATGCAAAGCACTTTTACATTGTCAAACTTGAAAAATGATTAGTTTTAGAAGTGTTCATTGCTTCCAATTTAAAAAGCTGTAGTGGTTACGACTGAAACATGAATTTTGATTTTCTTATCAAGCAAGGAAGTTTTTCTGTTTCAGTCATTTACCAGGTCGAGTTTTATTCACGCATTTGCAGAAGTCTTTGTTTTCAGCGTCATGACTTTAACGAACTTCAATACCGCACGTCGACTTTAGTTTTAAATATTCATACGTATAAATTTGTCTTTGGTTAATTGATAATTGTTTAGTTCAATATTTAGTTGTGATTGAACTCATTATAAGCGAAGTAATTTTATTGTAGCCAGATTATTTTACCATAACATTGACTTTGTGGATACCCTATTATAAATTTTCGTTGAAAGTTAATCCAATTTTGATAATGTTTTGTAAGTGGTGGATCGTCCTGATCTTTCTGACCCTCTCTCTCTTCCTTAGTGTAAATTAGTGTAAATATTGCTTTGTATTAAAAAAAAAAGATTTGGAAATGTTTTTGACCTAATGGTTGACTATTTTTTAGTTTCTTAGGCTATCTTCAATGTTTCAACGTAAAGTTAAAAGTTATTAAATCATATTTGACTGTGCGTTTGTTGCACCGAACTAACTCAAACTAGACTAACTTTAGGGACTAAGCTGGATTGGCTTAAACTATACTAAACTGCACTGACTTAGTGAAGCGTTTGATGCAGTATCAAACTAGAAAACTAGACTAACAATAAATTATTATTATTTAATTTATTTCCTATTAAAAATATCAACATTAATATGGAAAAATGGGGCATCTTCTTCGCAAATTGCTGCTGGTGCTCCTCTGCACACAGAATTTCCATTCACATTATCCAATAATCATTCAATTGATCAGAACTAATTGGTATCCCAGAAAACTCACAAATCCAAGCCTACCTTCACAAACCAAACGCAACCAATTCACAGAATCCATCAAATATTGTGAAATCCCGACCCCGAAATATCACTATTCATTACGTATCTCGTTCTTTAAATCCGTATTTCACGAGTACGTTATTTTTTATTAGTTAATTTTAATTCTGTTAATTTTGGGAATTAAATCGAATAGTTTTGGGTTTGAACTTTAATAATTAGTCTTTAACTTTGTTGACCTTTCGAGGTCACAAGTAATGTTTTCAAATAGGTCTCGAAGCCACGAGCGTATAGACGAAAGCCATTTACGAGTCCGAATTATAACGGTATAGTTACGGACGTTTGAAGTTGTGAAACTATAGATAATAGGAATTATTTAACTTCCACTTGTGGGTAAAAGGCCCAAACACATATTTGGGTGAAGGGACCGATTAATGAGAAGGGGAAAGGGACCAATTAGAGGGTAAAAAAAAAGATTAGGAACAGCCAATCAAAAAGGGGAAAAAGAAAAGGAGATGAGGGGGGTCTCGGCCAAGGAGGAAGGAGGGAAAAGAAGGGGGACGAATCGGAGAAGGGTGTGGACGAGTGTAGGGGGGACCTGCGGTCTTCTACCCTATTCCTATTTACCTACCTAAACTCAACTTCTCAAACTATTATCAATTTTGATCTGCTTTGTTTTGTTCACTGACAAGGTAATAGTGATACCCCCATCATTTATCAAGTCTCAGCCTAGGGTTTTTGGTTTCAAAGAGAAACTAAACGAGTTCTTGATCCAGGTTCAGCAACATGGTATCTAAAGTTTCTAGCTTTTCGAGTTCAGATTATTGGGATAAGGTATTCCACTTTGGTTTCTTGTCATCTGTTGGATTTGGAATGCTTTGGTTCTGTTATTTTGATTTTTTTTTCAATGAGTTTTGTTATTTCAAATTGGCATGCTTCAGTATGGATGAGAGGTAGTTTTTGAATTAAAGAATTAGAATTCCAATAATTAAGTAAAGATTGGAAATCGTATTTCTTGAGATACTATATATCTGCAGAATTAGGATTATTAATTTACTATAAGAACATACTTTTGGTTGAAATGTTTTGGTTGATTATTGTGCTATCTTAGGGAGATTAGTGAAGCAATGAGGGAGGTGCTCTCTATTTAGTTGGTCACTAGATCGAAATAGTAATATTTATAGATTATAAGAATTTGGGATTGATGACAATGCTAGCTGCTAGTCCTTATGCACCATGTTGAATGCATCCATTATGGTAGTTATTGAATTAACTCTATATTACAAACTTATTTTTGGTTGAAGTGGTTATTGATATTATATTTCTCTTTGGAGTTGAATGTTTCTTCCAAAGTATTTGTCTTTCCATTTCTTGTTGTTGTTCTTCCACTTCGATTTTCGTTGAGTGATGGTCCGGAATCATATCCTAGTTCGGATTCCGTTGAGTGATGGTCCGAGATCCCTTGGATTCTGTGATTTCATTGAGTGATGGTTCGGAATCGTATCTTGAGTTTGATTCCGTTGAGTGGTTTGAGTGATGGTCCGGAATCATTTTGGTGACTTGCTTCCTTGGATTTGATTTCAGTTTCAGAGATATAGGATTCAGTCGAACTGTGTCACTCTAGCCCTGTATGTCAGTGTGTTGTATGAGTTATTATTGGGTGTGATTATTGGATGTAATTGTTATGATCATGATATACCGTTCACCAATATGGCTATAGATTATTATTGCGCCTCGTCAATTGTTCCTTGAGATGTTGCACGCTCTGAATTGTGCATTATGTTGAAATATAGTAGTTTATGTGATGAATATTTGAGTGTAGTGAAAAGTTGAACTACGAATGA